AACCATTCAGTTAGCCTAGATGTATATGTTGAGAGTAAAAAAGGATAAGAAATGTATAATCAAAGCACCAATTTGATGATAGCTAGATACGAAACAAAAACAATTACTCGCTAGTCAAATATTAATTGTCAAAATCTCAATGAGGTTTCCCAGATGCTCATCATAAATAGAGGACGACCACTGTACAAAAACTACAAATCCCTAACTCTACTAAAAGGAAAAGCAAAGTTTTCAAAAGCGTTTTTATTTTTTTTCCTTGTCACTGACCCACATGGTGGCAAGGGGATAACAAATATGAGTTCTTTTTCTTTTTTGGACTTATGATCAAGGTGTGACATCAGGCTTTCATGGACTTATCAAGGGGATAATAAATGCCCACGCAAAATCCCCATTGCAAAGCTGCAATGTCATATTTGTTAGAAAAAGAACTCATCAAGGGGATAACAAATATGAGTGCTTTTTTCTTTTTTGGACTTATGATCAAGGTGTGATACATTTATTAAATAACAAATATGAGTTCTTTTTCCCCACCCTCATCAAGGGCTTTTAGGACTTGACACCAACCATCAACCTTCAAACCTTCAGGAATGAAGATTCTCTTGTGTGAATCCCCTACAGGCTCAATGTGGATCAAGAACTTACCTCCTCTTTCCAACCCCAGTGCCAGCTACAAAGAGTTTTGCCCTCACTTTATGCCCTCATCCAAGGACTTTCATGTTTTTTTTTTGGGTAGCAACTCAAGAATGGACGAGGCGGTCGTCCTAGTTCCCTCAAAGACAATGGAGGATCTAGAGCCTCTACCACTCTCAGACAACTTTCATTGAGTCATGTGCTCCACTATCAAGAGCAATCTTGAAAGCCTTATGCTCAATGACTAGGAATTTCTGAGGAGTAGAGACTGACATGAGAGCGAGAGGAAAGACAGACTAGAAGAGGATGGTCTGGAGGAAGAAAGATAGAGATTCAGAGAGGGAGAGCGAGAGAGAGTAAAAGAAGAGACAAGGTTGTGTTGAGTTATCCTCCAGTGCAGAGAAAACCGAAAAAAATAACAAGGAAGATAAACCAGATTGGAAATGTTAATACAAAATTGAGACGCCAACTTTTGAGTTATATTTCTATTTCTTCATCCATTGTATTTCTTTTTATGTACTGGAAAAAAACTAGAATGAGCTGTGGATCCTCCAGAAGTTAACATCAATCTTCTGCTGTGTTCGGTGTGCTAATTGCTTTCCCCTTTTGTTATGAACTTGTCATTAGAAAGTATTGATTGTGCATGGTGGATTAGGGAAGAAATATCCTTCCTATTTTTCCAACTTCTGTTGGTTCCTTCATTCTGATATCTACCAGATCTCATGGGATTAAATGCAGTGATATTCTCTTTACCTTGCAGTGGCTTCCAAGGTATTTATGATGTTGAGCATTTTATCCAGACGCTGAGATATGATGTAAGGATTGTCGAAAGCATTCCAGCAATTCGAAAGAATGGGAAAACCAAGAAGTTAAAAGCTTATCAGGTGGAACTTACATAGTTTCATATAACAAAAATTGTGTTTAAAATTGTGGCTTTTCCTTTTTGGTTCCTCCAATTCTTCTTGTTCCCTTGGCTCAGCTTCGGCCACCTCGAGATGCCCCTATTAACTGGTATACAAAAACTGCGCTGGAGAAAATGAAGGAGCATGGTGCTATATATCTTACTCCATTTTCACATCGCTTAGCTGAAGAAATAGACAACCCTGAATATCAACGATTGAGATGCAGAGTTAACTATCATGCTTTGAGGTTTAAGCCACAAATTATGAAGCTAAGTGAGTCGATAGTTGAGAAACTCCGCGCACAAGGCCACTTCATGTCAATACATCTTCGTTTTGAAATGGACATGCTGGCATTTGCAGGGTATGTTCTTGTGCATCTATCTTTTTTTTTTTATATACTTTTTCGTGCCTCTTCACTTTTCGTTTTTTTCCCCCCATTATAATGCAGAAAATGGGACTGTGCTGAGTGTTATGGAGTAGACATAAGTTATCAAAGTTTTCTTGTGCTATGCAGCTTGCCAAATGTGGAATAATAAGAATACAATAACACTGATGAGTATCAAGTGTTATTACTCAAATGTGTTGTTACTCCTTTTGAGTAACAACACAATATATTTTAAGAATACAATAACACTGATGAAACCCATAACTCCCGTTTTTTTGAATGCTCTATCAAATAATAATAACATACTTAAATGAATCACACAATTACTGACTTAAATAAGAATAGTAAAAAAATCTAGGGGCTATTTTCTCTACTAATCATGGATGTCTTTGGTAGGTTTTATCCAATAGATCTGCTAAGTTTATGTTATAATTGCTAATATACGTTTCTTTTGTACTTGTTTCAACCCATTAAGATTAGAACCTGAAATTTTTATTTATTTAAGGTCCATGTTGATTCTTTTGTCTCTTTCTTCTTCGGAAAGGGATTGGGTGTCTATTCTTCCTAATACATTTTATTTTCTTCTTTTGTTTTCTGTTTTTTGTTTGGAGGATATCCTGACCTCTCAGTATCAATTCTAATAACTTCTCCCTGTTCAATAATATTTTTATGAGAAAAGCTTTTTCTCTTTCAATAAAAGATTTTAGCTGCAAGGCTGGTTACAAGAGACTCAAAAGAAAACTCAGAAACTGATCTTAGCAAATTTTTGCAAGGATATATGCACCGAACCACTTAGAAAATTAGTTAAAAGACTAGATTTGTTTCATATTTTTGAATATACTTGCCATGTCAGAAACTAGCCCTACATATTGAATATCAAATCCAAAAGAGCCTTGGGATCACTTTATAATGATTTTACTTGCATCTTCTTCAGCTGGGAAAGCAATGCCTTACACTCCATAACACGGATAAGCAATGTCTTACGCTTCATGACATGGATCTTTCCAAGTAAGCAAGACATAAAAAGAATACTGATTGAGTTCCTTCCTTAGCTTGCTGTGCTTTACCTTTTCTGCAAAGCAGAATAAGATCATTTTCATCGGTAGAAACTTTGCATCTATATCGTCATCTTTTTGCCATCAATTTAAACAGTTTTTAAATATTTTTTTCTATTTTTTTTTCCTGAAATGGAAAAGAAATTAAGAAACCATAGCTTATAGTCATCATCATCACCAAAAAGGATGAACTGAAAGGTTTCTGAAAGATAAAAAGCGGACGAAAAACAAACTTTAACTGCTTCCTTTCCCTCTTTGTGTAAGCAATTTCCATTTTATACTTTATAATGTAAATTTCTGGTTCTTATATTGTCCAGCTGAAAAATTTTGGTTTCAGGTGAAATTTTAAGTAATCTGACCTAGCTTAACCACAGCTTAACCACATTGATAACAAAGGAATAACTATTTAAAAAGAAATGATAACAAAGGAATAACTTCTACAGGTGCTTTGACATATTTACCCCAAAAGAGCAGAGTATACTGAGGAAGTACCGAGAAGAAAATTTTGCAGAGAAAAGGCTTGTTTATAGTGAAAGAAGGGCGATCGGGAAATGTCCGCTAACCCCAGAAGAGGTGAGTTTCTTTATTTTGAATGTTTATCTCTTTCTTTGATATTTCAAAAAAAAAATCTCTTTCTTTGTTGCTTGAACACAACACAAGCGCTTGAATTAACATTGGTTGAGTTTGTTAAGACTGGAAAAAGAGAGACTTCTCTGTAAATACTAAGTATTGCATCTGAAATATTCTAATGATTTTTCAAGAATATCATTTTGCTAAAGAGGTTGTTCAATACATTGACATCATATTGCTTTTTTTTTTCTTTTGCTGCAGGTCGGTCTTATCTTACGGGCTATGGGATTTGATAATTCCACCAGGATATACCTGGCGGCTGGTGAGCTCTTTGGTGGCGAGCGGTTCATGAAACCTTTTCGCTCCTTGTTCCCTCGCCTTGAAAATCACAGTTCAGTGGACCCCACAGAAGAGCTAGTTACGAACACGAGAGGGCTGTTAGGGTCTGCAGTGGATTACATGGTCTGTCTTCTTTCTGACATTTTCATGCCAACATATGATGGACCAAGCAACTTTGCCAATAATCTTCTTGGTCATCGTCTTTATTATGGCTTCCGGACTACTATCAGACCTGACAGAAAAGCTCTTGCTCCTATTTTCATTGATCGAGAGAATGGTCATGTGTCTGGTTTTGAAGAAGCAGTCAGGCGTGTCATGCTAAAGACAAATTTTGGTGGGCCTCACAAGCGGATTTCGCCTGAATCATTCTATACAAATTCCTGGCCTGAATGTTTCTGTCAAACATCAACCCAAAACCCAGCTGATAGATCCCCTCCAGGGAATGTTTGGAAATTTTGGACAATCAGTTGGAGAAAGGGACACATGACTTAGAACCTTCAACTAGAAGAAATTCAACAGCAACTTCGGCGAGAAGATAAGGCTTTCACTGCAGTTTTGTGTTGGTGTAGTTATAAGGCCATTCCTGAACCTTATGCACCATATTGGATGAAGAAATGGGTTTCTTGACCTTGCTCTACTATTCAGGTAATACTTTGTATATGCTATTTATTTATTTACCCATATTCAGAGTCTTCCCAAGATTGGAACCTTCTAAACACTAAGTTATAGGGAGTTCCAATTCCTTGCCTCAGAGATGATAACTTCAAATGCCTTGGTGTTTTTATCCTAATCGAGAAGTAGATTGTAAAGCAAAGTCAATTTCACCATATAAATTTTAAGCTATCTTTCATAGCTAGTTAGGCCCCTCAAGAAATATAGCAGTTGTATTGTTGATTGGTTTTGTTAGCGTCATTGAACACCGCAATATTATTGATTCAATTATGTTATCTTCTAATACTGACGGGAATTTTAGCTTTATTTATTTATGTTATAAATATGGCTCCTGTTTAAGTTTTGTATGTCTGCTTTTCTCTTAGGTCTCTTGGTTGGGTTACTTAAATTGACGACTATTCAATTACTGGGATTTTGACATGGGATCAGCTCACAAATAGATGGTAGAAAAGCCCTACATGTCATTTAGGGTCAAGACTACGTCAGATTGAATGGTTGGAACAAACCAGATAGTAATTCTTTCCTCACAAAATTTGCTCTATTGATGTATCAATGTTTTAGTGCTGAGATATGAAACCTATGAGATAGTCCAGGACTTGAGGCAGAAACGGAAATGCCTAATTCTCATATTCATGATTTAATAATATGTTATCGGCAAAAGGTGCTGTTACTGAATTGGCCAGCCTTATTTGGCTTACCCTTTGTACCAGTTGAGGTGGACTCTGGTATATCATTGAGTGCGGTGGATTTGACAAACTAAAAATTTAAAATGGCAAATCATATGGATGTTAGGTTCGTCATGTGTATGAATAATCGAGTAACACTTGCAATAAAAAGCAAACTAACTTTAAGTTCTAAATGCTTGCATGCAAAATTTTGAAAATATGAACATTATTTATAAAATTCATTCAAAATTCACAATCTAGTTATCAAGAGAAGGTTATTTCGATTTTAAAAAATAATATAGGATGGAAACAATAAATGTGAGTTTTAGTTTAATTAAGGTCAGTTATTTCAATTTTACTACAAATTTCTTAATACAAACTTTTATTACCTTCTAATTTAATTTTCATATTTTAAATTAAATTGAAGATAGTTTTTAAGTAAAAATACAAGAGTAATTCATTTTAAACACAGCCTTAATTTTGATTGTTGAAATTGCAATTCATATATGAATTGCATATCTAGCACCCGAATAATGCAAAACAATTTTAACGATCAAAGACAATAAAAAAACTAACCACCAACTTACCATTCTTCCAAAGATTAAAGAAACCAAAAAGCGGGAGGTAAACATACGAGCAAAATAAGAAAATCCTTTGCCATCATCACATCGTTATATACCCTACTAAAACCATTACTTTAATGTTATGCCCTAAATAACCACGCACATAAAATAGCCAAGAGCTTGAAGATCATCAAAGATCAAGGATAGCGTTAATATCTGCTATTCTTCATTGCCCTAGTAACTGCTTTTTTAAACAGAGATAAGCAATATATGATACATCTTTCTCTGCCTTCTTATTTCATGGTACAGTCAAGTACACTTCAGCTTCCTGATTAAATAACATCTGAAAATGCTTCACAATTAACTAAACATTAAGCACCATGTAAAACC